AAGCGCCGCGGCTCGCTGCTGCGGAACGGCGGCAAGGAGGAGCGCAGGAGCCAGCTGACTCTGTCCCTGGACTTGCCCACCAACATCATGAACGTGATCTTCGAAATGGCCAAAGACCAAAACCTGCGCTCGAAGGCGGACGAGAACGCGCGTCTGCTCGCGCGCATCGGTCGGAGGAAGTGACGCTTTTGCGTTGTATTTTAAAAGGAACTTTGTACGAGTTGTTTGTCTTTGCGTTCGCATTATGTTATTGTTGGGGACAAATGACTTCCAGACCGACGCCTCACTGAAAAATGGCTGGATTTGTTGTAAAGGCGAGACCGGCAAATCACTGCATTGCCATTTATCGCTTCATGGGAGTCAACAACTCATCTCTTGATTAAATCTGTACGAACTGTTTCAAAGACTAAAGCTGACTGTGTTATTCGAGCATTCGCTTAACTTCCTCATGCAATATTTTTCCCTTCATCTCCTTTCCCAGCGGCTTCGTTTTTCATGTTTGCTGTTCAAAGTTTCAGTGCCCGTTGAAAAATGCACGGAAATGTCTGTGTGAATGCGTGCTCCTCAGATGTGTTATTTTTATACGCAAAATTATTTTCCCCAAATAAAGCAGACGCAACAAACACGGTCTCGTTCAAATCCATGTTTGTTCATGTTTACTTCCCAAACAATAAATCGCAATGACAAGTATTGTGGTGTGTACTGCGCCGCCTTGAATTCAAACCAAGTCATCGATGGAATACAAGTGAAGACGTGAAGGTTGCGAGAGAAATGAGGAAGAACAACTTATGCTGCCGCCCTGTGGCGAATCCGAGTAACTACATTCAAGTGGGAGAACACGTGATAATTTCGAACTTCACTGAATTACTGATGTTATCCGTGGTCTTCCGTCTCAGCGGCTCTCGCCATTCAATCCCCGGTCCTAATCTCAAGTTTCTATTGAAAAAATATAAATGATCAGATATTTACTATGTATATACAAAGAAATTTGCCGAAAAACTCAACCGTGATGGTCCAGTGGTCTAAAACTTTGCATTGGGTTCTGGCGACTCGGGTTCGATCCCCGGGCTCACCTACATAGGTGCATAAATGCAGGTGAGGAGAAAAGGGAACTCGAACACGAGTCAACTGAATCCAAAGTACAGTATTTAACCACTAGACCAACTCGGATTTGAAAGTTGATAATTTGGAGATTATATTTATTCTTTCACTTTGTCATGTTTAGGTGTAAACTATGAATACAACTAAAAATTCGCCGGAAAACTCAACCGTCATGGTCCAGTGGTCTAAAACTTTGCATTGGGTTCTGGCGACTCGGGTTCGATCCCCGGGCTCACCTACATAGGTGCATAAATGCAGGTGAGGAGAAAAGGGAACTCGAACACGAGTCAACTGAATCCAAAGTACAGTCTTTAACCACTAGACCAACTCGGATTTGAAAGTTGATAATTTGGAGCTTATATTTATTCTTTCACTTTGTCATGTTCAGGTGTAAACTATGAATACAACTAAAAATTCGCCGGAAAACTCAACCGTGATGGTCCAGTGGTCTAAAACTTTGCATTGGGTTCTGGCGACTCGGGTTCGATCCCCGGGCTCACCTACATAGGTGCATAAATGCAGGTGAGGAGAAAAGGGAACTCGAACACGAATCACCTGAATCCAAAGTACAGTCTTTAACCACTAGACCAACTCGGATTTGAAAGTTGACAATTTGGAGGTTATATTTATTCTTTCACTGTCATGTTTAGGTGTAAACTGAATACAACTAAAAATTCGCCGGAAAACTCAACCGTGATGGTCCAGTGGTCTAAAACTTTGCATTGGGTTCTGGCGACTCGGGTTCGATCCCCGGGCTCACCTACATAGGTGCATAAATGCAAGTGAGGAGAAAAGGGAACTCGAACACGAGTCAACTGAATCCAAAGTACAGTCTTTAACCACTAGACCAACTCGGATTTGAAAGTTGATAATTTGGAGCTTATATTTATTCTTTCACTTTGTCATGTTCAGGTGTAAACTATGAATACAACTAAAAATTCGCCGGAAAACTCAACCGTGATGGTCCAGTGGTCTAAAACTTTGCATTGGGTTCTGGCGACTCGGGTTCGATCCCCGGGCTCACCTACATAGGTGCATAAATGCAGGTGAGGAGAAAAGGGAATTCGAACACGAGTCAGCTGAATCCAAAGTACAGTCTTTAACCACTAGACCAACTCGGATTTGAAAGTTGATAATTTGGAGCTTATATTTATTCTTTCACTTTGTCATGTTCAGGTGTAAACTATGAATACAACTAAAAATTCGCCGGAAAACTCAACCGTGATGGTCCAGTGGTCTAAAACTTTGCATTGGGTTCTGGCGACTCGGGTTCGATCCCCGGGCTCACCTACATAGGTGCATAAATGCAGGTGAGGAGAAAAGGGAACTCGAACACGAATCACCTGAATCCAAAGTACAGTCTTTAACCACTAGACCAACTCGGATTTGAAAGTTGATAATTTGGAGATTATATTTATTCTTTCACTTTGTCATGTTTAGGTGTAAACTATGAATACAACTAAAAATTCGCCGGAAAACTCAACCGTGAACTGTCGTCCCCCCCCCCCCCCCCCCCTTTTTTTTTTTTTTTTTTTTTTTTTTTTTAGTGGACACCCCGCCACACACGCGATGTTGTCGTCCCTCAAGACCCTGCTGCTGCTCTCGGTTCTTTGCCCGCCCTCCTCCTGCTTGTGTCTCCGCTTGGCCCGCGGCCGCTCGGACCTCCTGTGCGACAACCAGATGGCCGCCGGCGGCCGCTTCTCCTCCGAGAACGTCTGGGGCTCCCTACTGCAGTCCTCCGCGGAGTACCTGGGCGCCTCCGCGTCCGAGGAGTCGTCGAGCCGGGAGAAAAGGACTTTCAACCCGGCTAAGTCGCGCTTCCAGAGCCGGGCCAAGCTCCGCGGCTCGCTGCTGCGGAACGGCGGCAAGGAGGAGCGCAGGAGCCAGCTGACTCTGTCCCTGGACTTGCCCACCAACATCATGAACGTGATCTTCGAAATGGCCAAAGACCAAAACCTGCGCTCGAAGGCGGACGAGAACGCGCGTCTGCTCGCGCGCATCGGTCGGAGGAAGTGACGCTTTTGCGTTGTATTTTAAAAGGAACTTTGTACGAGTTGTTTGTCTTTGCGTTCGCATTATGTTATTGTTGGGGACAAATGACTTCCAGACCGACGCCTCACTGAAAAATGGCTGGATTTGTTGTAAAGGCGAGACCGGCAAATCACTGCATTGCCATTTATCGCTTCATGGGAGTCAACAACTCATCTCTTGATTAAATCTGTACGAACTGTTTCAAAGACTAAAGCTGACTGTGTTATTCGAGCATTCGCTTAACTTCCTCATGCAATATTTTTCCCTTCATCTCCTTTCCCAGCGGCTTCGTTTTTCATGTTTGCTGTTCAAAGTTTCAGTGCCCGTTGAAAAATGCACGGAAATGTCTGTGTGAATGCGTGCTCCTCAGATGTGTTATTTTTATACGCAAAATTATTTTCCCCAAATAAAGCAGACGCAACAAACACGGTCTCGTTCAAATCCATGTTTGTTCATGTTTACTTCCCAAACAATAAATCGCAATGACAAGTATTGTGGTGTGTACTGCGCCGCCTTGAATTCAAACCAAGTCATCGATGGAATACAAGTGAAGACGTGAAGGTTGCGAGAGAAATGAGGAAGAACAACTTATGCTGCCGCCCTGTGGCGAATCCGAGTAACTACATTCAAGTGGGAGAACACGTGATAATTTCGAACTTCACTGAATTACTGATGTTATACGTGGTCTTCCGTCTCACCTGCTCTCGCCATTCAATCCCCGGTCCTGATCTCAAGTTTCTATTGAAAAAATATAAATGATCAGATATTTACTATGTATATACAAAGAAATTTGCCGAAAAACTCAACCGTGATGGTCCATTGGTCTAAAACTTTGCATTGGGTTCTGGCGACTCGGGTTCGATGCCCGGGCTCACCTACATAGGTGCATAAATGCAGGTGAGGAGAAAAGGGAATTCGAACACGAGTCAGCTGAATCCAAAGTACAGTCTTTAACCACTAGACCAACTCGGATTTGAAAATTGACAATTTGGAGGTTATATTTATTCTTTCACTTTGTCATGTTCAGGTGTAAACTATGAATACAACTAAAAATTCGCCGGAAAACTCAACCGTGATGGTCCATTGGTCTAAAACTTTGCATTGGGTTCTGGCGACTCGGGTTCGATCCCCGGGCTCACCTACATAGGTGCATAAATGCAGGTGAGGAGAAAAGGGAATTCGAACACGAGTCAGCTGAATCCAAAGTACAGTCTTTAACCACTAGACCAACTCGGATTTGAAAATTCTCAATGTGGAGGTTAGATTTATTCGCATGAACAATAGTATTGGGCACTCCAAAATTGAGGAAGACACTAAAATAACACTTTCAATGCCGGAAGTCATCAGCACGATTGGCCTAATGGTTAGAGACAAGCGGTGCCGTCTGGTGAGAGCGAGTTCGAGCCTCACCTCGACCTCCCATTTACCGAGATTTTCTTTCGGAATCGTTTCTCTCAATTGTTTTTTTTTTTTAACTTCTTTGTTAAATAAAGCTTTTGAAAAAAACCAAAACGTGATGACGTCGTTAGCGAAAACCTATTTAAGCTGCGACTAATTGAACAACGGTCTCTTTCCACTCCAGGCTGCCGACTGACTGCACGTCCACATCGCGGCAAGACAACCACAAGGCTTGGCAAGGTGAACGCTTTAACTTTCTTTTTTTGTCTTGTCATTGCTAACTTTTGTAACTTTTAACAATAATTCACCTTTTCAGGCTGTTCAACTCTTCCACGGTTAAGTCGCCTGCAATTTAAATGGCATTGTGTTCTTCTGAACTAACTCTCGTTTTGCAATTTTCTTTTTCCTTTACAGCGTGCAGAGAGGGTAAGTTGCTCGCGTTTGACAAACTGAACGTTTGGAGGTTTCTTTTTCGTTTTTTCATCGCTAACTTTTTGTAACTTTTCACATTAATTCACGTTTTCAGGCCGTTCAACTCTTCCACGGTAAGTCAACTGCAATTTGCAACGGCACTCTGCTCGATTGAACTCACTCTCGTTTTGCAATTTTCGTTTTCCTTTCCAGCACGCCGAGAGGGTAAGTTGCCAGCGTTCGACGAACTGAACGTTTGAGGTTTCTTTTTCGTCTTTTAATCGCTAACCTTTTGTAACTTTTTACATTAATTCGCGTTTTAGGGCTGTTCAACTCTACAAAGGTAAGTCGCCTGCAATTTTTAAATGGCACTGTTTGATATATATTTCTTTTCCTTTCCAGGGTATTGAGAAGGTAAGTTGCCAGCGTTTTTTATTTCCACAATTTAAATGAGACTCTGCTCTTTGTTGTAATTGTGTAATTTCTGTTCACAGGCTTGGCATCTTCAAGTGACTGGCCGAATTGACTCTAAAAATGGCTCTCTGCGACTTTTTTTTTTTTGGAGGGGGGGCTGTTTAAATGTGCTTACCAAAAGTCACGCTGCTAATTATTTTACTGTCTTTTCAGCCCACCCGTTATGCTGCAGGCCACTGCCGAGGTGTCCAGCTCAGCCCTGCGCTCGTCACTGGTAAGAGACAAAAAAACTCCTGCGCATACAACTCCGAAACCATGTTTTAATTTTTCAGCACATGAAGATGAGCTTACAGGAGGCTTCGAGTGATGACGTGATTCAGGTAGGAACCACAAACTATAAATGTGTGCAAGTTTTTATTTTATTTTTTCTTAGAGGGAGGATTTCAAAATTTGGTGCTGTACACTACCTCATTGTAAACTGCGCTCCCCAGACATCTTGAAAAAGCAAGTTGAGAGTCCGGCCTCAAGTTGCTATTTTGCTCCTGGACAAAACTGAAGGAAGGTAAGGACATCGGAAAGAACTACAATTCACTCTTTCTGACATCCTTTTTGTGTGCGCAGGTGAAACGGCATCTTGACTTCATCCACAGCTGCCTGACGAACAAGACAACGGCGAATGGGGCTGTTTGCAGTGTCTGCTGGGTTTGAGCACACTGCAAAGCAAAATGGCTCAAGTGAACATTTTTTAACACATTTTCTCTTTTGCAGGTTCCCCCAAAGCTGCACCGGGACGAATGTCTCTCGGGACCGTCTGAAAGATACATTTACCATTCTGTACTTGCGTACTCATTTTGTTTTTCTTTCTGCTCAGGTGGTGCCAAAGCATCTCTTGCCCCTGCAGAACCTGAATCAGCAAAGACTGTGGACAGGCTCGAGTACAGTCGATCTTTTTCGCCAGTGATACTTATGTTGGAAAAGAGACTAAAAAATGTGATTGTTGTTGCAGGTGGAGGAGGAAACATGATCGTTTGTTGAGATGAGCACATGTTTTCGTTTTTGACTGTGCACAGAGATTGTTGTTGCAGGTGGAGGAGGAAACATGATCGTTGAGATGAGCACATTTTTTTTCGTTTTTGACTGTGCAGAGAGGCTTCCAGTTGGTGCCATCATGAAGTCTGAACCCTGGTCACCAAGACGCTGCACCTGCTGGGCAAAGAAAATTGTCTACTCCAGTTGGTGCCATCGTGGAGTCTGCACCCTGGTCACCAAGACGCTGGGCAAAGAAAATTGTCTACATTACAGCTGAAATCTTTCAAGTTGACCCACATTAAAATTAAACTGAATTAAAAGCTTGATGGGTCCATTGCGTACCTCCTGTTTGTGTTCAGGCTTGTCCATTCTGGGGCCCTCAGAAGCGGTTGGACATTTTTTTTCCTCATGAGGAGGATTGCCAAAGTTGGTGCTGTCAACGGCACTCTGCACGTTGAGAGTCCGGCCTCAAGTTGCTGTTTTGCTCCTTCTGTTTTGAGACAGAAGGAGGGTAAGGACGTCGTAAATGACTTCAATTCGCTCTTGCTGACATCCTTTTTGTGTGCATGCGCAGGTGAAACGGCACCTTTACTTCATCCAGAGCTGCCTGGGGAACAAGAAAACAGTGAATGGGGCCGTCTGCTGGGTTTGAGCATGCGGCAAAGCAAAATGGCTGAAGTGAACATTTTTAAACCCATTTCTCTTTTGCAGGTTCCCCCAAAACTGCACTGGGACGAATGTCTCTCTGGACAGTTGAAAAAGGTACATTTCACATCCTGTACTAATTTTGTCTCTTTCTGCTCATGTCCACTAGATGGTGCCAAAGCACCTCTTGGCCCTGGAGAACCTGAATCGGCATCCACTCCGGGAAGACGGTGGACAGGCTCAAGTACCGTTGTTTTTCGCCAGTGATGCTTCTGTTGGAAAAGACCAGCAATAGTCTCAAATCACAACAGCCATGTCAGTTGTAATGCAGTCATGATCTGAACTTGTTTTTGTTGTTGTGGCGAAAAAGCAAAAAAAATGTTTTTTTTCTTTTTTTTTTTTTTTTTTTTTTTTGACTTTGCAGAGAATCTTCCGGTTGGTGCCATCGTGGACTCCGCACCCTGGTCACCAAGACGCTGGGCAAAGAGTTTCGAAATTGCAGCTGAAATCTTTCAAGTTGACCCACTTTCAACTGAAACTGAATTAAAAGCTTCATGGGTACATTACCTACCTCCTGTTTGTGTTCAGGCTTGTCCACTCTGAGGCCCTGAGAAGCGGTTGGACATCACCTTCGCTCTGTCACAGGATGGGGGGGAAAAGGGTCAGACTTGAAAAACAAATAGTTTGACTACAAATTTCCCATTGAAGGCCTGAAGGATTTCTTACCTTGTTTCCCTCCAGAAATCCAAGTTGGACCCCGCCCCACCATGACGTCAACGTGAGCCCTTCTCGCAAGAAAGCGCTTGGTGGTTTTTTGAGGGTTTGTATGTGACTCTGCTCATTTCGTCTCTGCAGAACTGGCAACTGCTCCAGAAGATTCCAACAGACAGTCTACTGAATTTTTTTTTTCCTCCTCCCCTTTCTTCAGATGGTCACTCAGACATTGGTGACAAATGCTGCCGGCCTCTGCGACATGCTAGCCTGTGAAGCCCAACGTCATCAGCTTTCTCTTCCCCAGTCCAGAGGACCACATACAGACGTTGGCAAACTTTGGGAGAAGTCGGCGCTTGTGGTGGTGGGTGTCATCTCAAACGGTTTCCATCAAAACCACGCTGGGTGAATGTTTTGATTGGTGTCTTGCTGTTTTCCAGAAGTGACGTCACGCTGCCTGGGGAAAGGGTCTTCCTGGATTAGGTGGGCTGAAGTGCACCCTTGTTCCTCTCCTTCCTTGCGGTCTGCAAGTGAAATAAATGGTCATGTCAACAAAATCTTGGTGATGCATCATCCATTTTTGACCACTTACTCTGTTTCTGTTTGGTCAGCTGGAGAACGACGTCCAGAAGGGTCTGAAGCCAACTTTGGAGCAGCCTGCCAACAAGAAAAGTTGCACTGGTGCATACATGCACAAGTGCTGCAACTTGGCGGTTTTTCTTCAAGTTCGATGACTGCCCAAGAAGTCCCAGGTCCTCTTCCTCACTGGTGGGTTTGTTCTTGTCTAAAATTTGCTGTACCAGAAATGCGCTAAAATCCTTTTTCCTTTGTCCACTTCACCAGGCGGCGACTGTCGTCCAACTCTTGGCTTGATGCATTCAGCTAGAAGAGGTTATACAATGGGCAGTAAGTTTTGAATGCTTGACAGTTTTCTCAATCCCTTCTTTGACCCCATATTGTTTGTTGCGCAGGAGCTGAGCGTGATGTGGCCGTGCGAGCACTTGTTCAGAGTCCCAGACAACTTCTGTGCTGGTTAGTTTGATCACATTTCAAATTGCATTTGCTGCACAAGAAGGGGATTTGAGACTCTCCAATCTCATTTTTGTCTTAGGTCCACGTGTTGGCCCAGCTCTGCTGTCACAGGCTGACTTCACCAGGCAACGAAAAGTAGAAGGCTGCAAAGTCATCCAACTTGGACATTTTCGGTGAGACACTTTTTTTGTCATTTTTAAACTTTTTTTTTTGTAATTTTAAGGCTAACTTTTTTTACTTTAACTTTTTTATTTAAATTTTTTTTTTTTACTTTAACTTTAACTTTTTTTTTTTTTTACACTTTAACTTTAACTTTTTTTTTTTTTACTTTAACTTTGTCTTTGAACATGTATTCTTGTAAAATAAAATGAAAACACAAACATCTCGACTTCCTTCATCAATGAAAGTGGGTGGGGTTAGGGGTGTGGCAATGCAAATAAAGGAGCAATCCGATTGGCTGATGTGAATGGGCGGGGCTATGCTAATGAATATAAATTAGCATAATGGGTGTGGTTATGCGAAGCTAATGATGGGCGGAGTTATGCAAATATGCGCGAATGCAGCACTGTGATTGGTCGAATCGGTCGCTTGTGGGCGGGGCTATGCAAATTAATTTACATACCGTGCTGTGATTGGTTGATTGGGTAATTTTGGGCGCGGCTATGCAAATAAATTTTCCCGGCGGGGTGGGCGGGGCTATGCAAATATATATATTTGCATCGTACATTCTGATTGGCTGTGTTAATCAGTTGTGGGCGGGATTATGCAAATAAATTTCGTGTTTCCGGTTATAGGTGGGCGTGGCTATGCAAATATATTTGCATGCCGACTTTTGATTGGCTGAGCCAAGCTATTGTGGGCGTGGTTATGCAAATTTATTTGCATGCGTTGCTCTGATTGGGTATGCTAATTAGCTGTGGGCGTGGTTATGTAAATTATTTGCATGCCGAATTTTTTCCCCGGGGTGGGCGTGATGTATGCAAATAAATTTGCGTGCCGCAACCTGATTGGTTGCTTCGAGGATGTGTAGGCGGGGTTATTCAAAATAAATTTACATGCCGCATTGTGATTGGTCGATTTGGGCAATTGTGGGCGGGGTTTGCAAACAAATTTGCATTAAAATTCTGGTCTTGCATGGGCGGGGCTATGTAAAGTGGGTGTGGTTGTGGGCGGCAACCGGAGTTGTCTGTGTTTTGTCCTGGAAGACGTTTGGCTTCTGGGCCGAGTAGGTTTTCTGGGTTCATGCGCAAACACCAAAAAGGACAGCTCGCCCTTTCTGGCCTTGAGCATCAATCCAAGAAGTCTGCTCGGACCAGAGGCCAAACGTCTTCCGGGACAAAACCCCAACAACTCCAGTTGCCATCCATAACAAGGCCACTTTGATTAAACTCAGTGAGACACAAAACATGCAGACTCTGATTCCAGCCGAACAATATATTGACAAGAATTTTTTTAAAACAATTTCACATCATTTTAGCAATAAAGCTTGACTCAAGTTCTACACCGACACTGGCTGACAGGCAGTACATTTCAGCCAGCAGCAGAGGATGCCATGTTGTCTGCTTGACAAGCATGGACTGCACAACACTGACACATGTGGAAGCTGGTAACAACATCACTCACTGCTTATGAACATGTGTTTCGATGTTTTTTTTTTTTTTTTAAATCAGTTATTTTTGCCAATTTATTAAACAAAAATATAAATATTTAGTTTTAAATAATCTGGGCCACAACAATGTAATTTTAAAAATAGCACATGTTCAGAAGCATTGAGCTTTGTTCTCCTTGTGTGCACTGTGTCGCAGATCAAGTCGAGGTCAGAAAGCTCACTTGGGTCATTCCATGGCAAATCACAAGCGGGTTCAGCCAAATGGATTTTGATTTGAATGAAACTTGCTGTACTTGTTGACAGTGATGGCACAACACTAAATCTCAAATTAGCGGTCAATCGGAGCAAGGGTTTGGGAGCTACGGCATCCCCGAATTTTTATGAGCTCCGGAAAAGGGGGCGTGGCCGCCTTCCTTCCTGAGTTCAGGCATCAACCCATCCCATCTTCACAAAACAGGTATTTATTTGGGAAGGGAATTTAACAAGAAATCAATATCTGTAATCATTTGGAAGATTGATTTATATTTAAGCAACTTTTGACCTAGAACTTAACCTGGAGATGGACCTTGGGTGACCTTGAGGATTACGTGACCATATTTTTTTTCATGGAATGTAATCTCTCACATGTTCTCTCAAAGGTTTCAGTTTTGTCAATGTTGTTTAGCAGCAGTAAGGGCTCATCGTATCCATATTGTCAGATTTGCAATGAATATTCAATGACCTCATTGAATATGCAAATTGCAAGGATTATTATAGGGGTGTGTACTATGACTCCTTATTGCTGCTGTACAAAATAAATTATGTCTCTGATACTTAGTTTTAGTGTTGTGCCAACACCTTCAACAAGTACGGCAAGTTTCATTCAAATCAAAATCCACTTGGTTAATTTTTTTATGAATTATGGCGTGACCTAACATGGAATGACCCACTAAAAAAATGGCTTCAAACAGCATGGCGTCCTCTGTGTTGGGAAAAAAAAGTGCACACACCTGCCCAAAACCAGGTTTGCGTCATTGTAGTGCAGATGCATCCATGTCCTGAACTGAGCCTGTCCAAAACCTCCTCCGTCCTGTCAGGCAAACAAAAACATAAGTACTGTCACGTGAGGGACGCACTGAAACAGAAGACAATGGACAGTGAAAACATGGAAAAGTTGGGCATGCGTTACCTTTGCACGTGGAAGCAGGTGTTGACAACTTCCCTTCATTGTGGTCGTCTACTGCGCATGTAAACAATACAAAAAAATGCCTTAATTCGCACTAACGTAGCTAACCTAACTTAGTTCAGGTGCTCGAAACACACGTAACATTAGCAAACAAACAAAAAAAAAAAACGCCAAGCCAAACAATGGCTCGTTTCCGGTCAGCGTTTAACTACCTGGTCGCAATTAAACAAAACTAAATGATCGACGTTGAACGATGAACGAACCGGAGGGACAAATTATCGTTAACACGCGACGAATGGAACACCCAGAGTGTCAAAATGTCACATTTTAAAAGAAGTGCCGAAAAATGTCCGCGCATGCGTAAACGCTCTCTCCTATCAACGCGAGAACTTGGGTGTGCCTAATATTTTGGTCATTTTGGACACTTCTTTCTGTACGCTTTTTTTTTTTTTTACATTGGAAAAAACGCATCATTATAATTGCATTGAATGCCGTAATAATGCGTTTTTACGCCTTATTGGGCCAGTCAGGAGGGTGAAATAACAGCTTATTTGCTATTTGATGACGTAACGGCCGGAAGTTCATTCCAGTTGTGGCGACGTGGAAGATTTTGTTAGCATCCCGTCGACATCGAACGTCTGCCGCTCGTCAGCCAGTTTCGACACGATGATCAAGAAGTTTGACAAAAAGGACGAAGAGTCCGGTGAGTGTTGCTGAACGTTGTTCTTTGACCTCGCAATGGCGACTGTGATCGGTGAGTTTTATAACTCGTGAGGCTCGCAGGTTGGCGTGCTAACAAATAACTAGCATGGAAGCTGAAACGAGCAATCGGAGTGAATTAATGTTGCAAGGTGAATTAAAATGACACTTTGATGTATTTATTTTGCGTTTGTGATAAATAAATGCAGGCATTAGCCCGCTGCTCTGTTAGCGCTAACGTGAGCTGCGTCTTGTCAGTGACGTCCGTATGCATGTCCTTTTTTTCTTTCAGGAAGCGGCTCAAACCCTTTCCAGCATCTGGAGAAGAGTGCCGTTTTGCAAGAGGTGCGTTTCCAAATGTCATTTTTTTCGTAATCAAACAGATTGTCAACATAGTCATATGTGTGAATTATTTTCATTTTGCCCACAGGCTCGCATCTTCAACGAGACACCCATCAACCCACGAAGATGCCTGCACATTCTGACCAAGATTATTTACCTTCTCAACCAGGTAGCATAGAATAACTTTTTTTTTTGTTTTTTTTTTTAACATGCGACCGACCCTCTGCCTCACATTCCTGGACTTTTATTTGTTTTAGGGTGAACATTTTGGGACCACTGAAGCCACCGAGGCGTTCTTTGCCATGACCAGGCTCTTCCAGTCCAATGACGTAAGCTCAAATAGTCAATTTCAAAGTGTTAACTTTAAGTCAAAATGTAATTTTTGTCTTCTTAGCAAACACTGAGGAGGATGTGCTACTTGACCATCAAGGAGATGGCCAACATCTCTGAGGACGTCATTATTGTCACCAGCAGGTTCAAAAAGTTTTACGACGACATGATGTGTTGGGTTCGTGTTTCATAAATAACGGTGGTGTCACTGTGCCTGCGCAGCCTTACCAAAGACATGACTGGCAAGGACGACGTGTACAGGGGACCGGCGATCAGAGCCCTCTGCAGGATCACAGACGTAAGTTGTCCATCAAAAGCCATGCTTCTAAGAATTCAAGAAAAAAATAGAATGCTGACTGCCCCCCGCGTTCCTCAGACCACCATGCTGCAGGCCATCGAGAGATACATGAAGCAGGCCATCGTCGACAAGGTCCCGAGCGTGTCCAGCTCGGCCTTGGTGTCCTCACTGGTGAGATGCGCTTGGGTCAACGCTCACGTCACATAGCCAAAAGTTGTTTCACTCGGGATTCTGAGTTTTCTTTTTAGTCGTCATTAGTTTTATTTTTTTTTCCAAAAGTGCTTTCTCTTGCTTAGTTTTCATGAACTCAAATAACCTTGGTTTCAGCACATGGTGAAGATGAGCTACGACGTGGTCAAACGCTGGGTGAACGAAGCCCAGGAGGCAGCTTCGAGCGATAACATTATGGTTCAGGTGGGCGCATGCTACATTCGCTTCTAACTAGGCATAAAAGTTTGTGTGCTTACCCAAACGTTCCGCACCGCTGCTCCACACTCGAAGTGTCAACTTGTCCTGTCGTGTTGCAGTACCACGCTCTGGGCCTCCTGTACCACCTGAGGAAGAACGACCGGCTGGCCGTCACCAAGATGCTCAACAAGTTCACAAAGTCGGGCCTCAAGTCGCCGTTCGCCTACTGCATGCTCATCCGCATCGCCAGCAAGCTCCTGGACGAGACGGAAGGAGGGTAAGCGGACACTTTTAAACAGTCACGCTGGGCTAGTGCTTCCGATCCTGAGATATTTTCCGGGCGCAGTCACGACAGCCCCTTGTTTGACTTCATCGAGAGCTGCCTGCGCAACAAGAACGAGATGGTCGTGTACGAGGCCGCCTCAGCCATCGTGCACATGCCCAATTGCACGGCCAGGGAGCTGGCCCCCGCTGTATCCGGTAGGTTAGCGCAAACAACGGGGAATAAAAATGGCTGACGTGAGTGAGTTCTTTTTTTTTTTTTTTTTTTCTGAAGTGCTGCAGCTCTTCTGCAGTTCCCCCAAAGCCGCGCTGAGATACGCGGCAGTCAGGACCCTCAACAAGGTACTTGCCACACCCCGCCGCATCTCCTGTACGCCCTCGACTCGAACGCGTCCCAATTGACGTTTGGCGTGGCGCTCTTGTCCAACCAGGTGGCGATGAAGCACCCCTCGGCCGTGACGGCGTGCAACCTGGATCTGGAGAACCTGATCACCGACTCCAACCGCAGCATCGCCACCTTGGCCATCACCACGCTGCTGAAGACGGGCAGCGAGAGCAGCGTGGACCGACTCATGAAGCAGATCTCGTCTTTCGTCTCGGAGATCTCCGACGAGTTCAAGGTGAGGCGTCCGGGCGGCAGGGATGCACATGATCGATCCGAGGCACCGTTTGAGTGATTGATTGATTTGCGGTTGCAGGTGGTGGTGGTGCAGGCAATCAGCGCTCTGTGTCAAAAGTATCCAAGGAAGCACAGCGTCATGATGAACTTCCTGTCCAACATGCTGAGAGACGACGTAAGCGGGCAACAAACTACTGCCGAAAAATCATCACGTCAACATTCAAAAAGCGCTCACCTGTGTTGTCTTTCTTTGGGGGGGCGGGGACGGCGCATTCAAGGGCGGCTTTGAGTACAAGCGGGCCATCGTGGACTGCATCATCAGCATCATCGAGGAGAACCCCGAGAGCAAAGAAACGGGCCTGGCGCACCTGTGCGAGTTCATCGAGGACTGCGAGCACACGGTGCTGGCGACCAAGATCCTGCACCTGCTGGGCAAAGAAGGCCCGCGCACCCCGCAGCCGTCCAAGTACATCCGCTTCATCTTCAATCGGGTGGTGCTGGAGAGCGAGGCCGTGCGAGCCGGTAAGTCGCCTTTCTCAGCGTCTGTGTAAAACAAGCGCAGTTTTTGGTTTTGAGACTTTTTTTTTCCCCCCCTACCTGATATCAGCTGCGGTTAGCGCCTTGGCCAAATTCGGAGCTCAGAACGACGACCTGCTGCCAAGTGTTCTGGTTCTCATGCAGAGGTACTTTTTTAAAAAAATGATTACCGCCAGAGCAATCTAAACCTGGCCTTGCTCCAGGTGCATGATGGACAGCGACGACGAAGTGCGTGACAGGGCCACGTTCTACATGAACGTGCTGCAGCAGAAGCAGAAGGCACTTAACGCTGCCTACATCTTCAACGGTGAGATGAGTTCACGTGCTAACGATTTAGCATCTCGGGTTAGGGCTCAGCAATTTCTGGTTTTCGTCCTTCTCCCCCTTCAATCAAAACAAAAAGCAAAACGACATTTTTCAATACTTGGGAAATAGTGTCTATTTAAATCAACATGATTTTAAATATTCCACAATGAAACTTTTTTTTTTTTTAAGTCTTTCCTTTTTTTCAAGCACATCAGATTTTTTGGACCTATAAAAGATTGTGCCATCATGAATTTTACCATGCAGTTTGAGTTACAGCTATGACATTTCAGAAAAAAAAAATCCTCTTGTTGCTGTAGCTAATCGCTTCATTCATAAATATTACACATTCGATTTGGTTGTATACATTTAAAAAAAAAAGATTTTATCGATTCAATCTTATGAATCGCCCAGCCCTACCTTGAATGTCCTCTTCAACATTCATCTCTTGTTCAGGCTTGTCGGTGTCCATCCCCGGTCTGGAGAAGTCGCTGCACCAGTACACGCTGGATCCCTCGGAGAAGCCGTTCGACATGAAGACGGTTCCTCTCGCCACCACGCCCATCACAGAACAGAAAACGGGTCAGCTCTTGGGACGGCACATTCAGATTTTCTGGTTGAATTACCACTTTTACATGTCATTTTTTTTCCGATCAGAAATCGCTCCAGTGGCGACCAGCAAGCTCCCAGAGAAGTTGGCCCCGTCCCGCCAGGATATCTATCAAGGTGAGATCTCCTCACCGGGAAGTCTTCATTGACTTGACGTGATTGGAACTTCCTCTGCTCTCAGAACAACTGGCGGCCATCCCCGAGTTCCAGGGTCTCGGCCCGCTCTTCAAGTCGGCCGAGCCGGTGCAGCTGACGGAAGCCGAGACGGAATACGTGGTGCGCTGCATCAAACACACCTTCTCCAGGCACATGGTCTTCCAGTTCGACTGCACCAACACGCTCAACGACCAACTTCTGCAGAAGGTTCCAGACGATACAGTTCATCGCGACACAGTTCAATCAACCATTCACTCATACCTCCGGTCGTCATTCCAGGTTCTCGTGCAAATGGAGCCGTCCGAATCCTACGAGGTGCTTCACTACCTTCCCGCCGCCAGCCTCCCGTACAGCCAGCCGGGCTCCTGCTACACGCTCGTGCGTCTGCCCGACGACGACCCGACAGCCGGTGAGTCGAGCGCCACCTTTTTTGATTTGGCCGCTCAAACCACGACGAACGATTCAAACGACGCCGTTCTCGTTGGCAGTGTCGTGTACGTTCAGCTGCACGATGAAGTACCTGGTCCGAGACTGCGACCCCAACACGGGAGAGCCCGATGACGACGGTTACGACGACGAGTACGTGGTAAGTGGCGGTGCGCCGTCGGCAAATTCGTTTGGTCCTTGCTTCGGTTTCATTCGTGTGATCTCCCGCAGTTGGAGGACCTGGAAGTGACCGTGGCGGACCACATCCAGAAGGTGCTGAAGCCAAACTTCGGAGCAGCCTGGGAAGAAGTGGGAGACGAGTTTGAGAAGGAGGAGACGTTTGCGCTGGCGTCCGTTCGCACTTTAGACGGTAGGCTCATGGAAATGCTCGTCGCGGTCATGATTCCGACGACATCTTTCACCCAATGTGGTGGTGGCGGCGGCGTTCCGACAGAGGCAGTGAAGAACATCGTCAGCTTCCTGGGCATGCAGCCGTGCGAGCGCTCGGACAAAGTGCCAGAAAACAAAAACTCGCACATCCTCTTCCTCGCTGGTGGGTTTCATGGGGAAAAAAAAACCCACACAATTTTTGTGCGCATTTTAAAGACTCACTCCGATTTTTTTTTTTTCTTGTGATTTCGCAGGTGTTTTCCGGGGAGGTCACGACACACTCGTCCGAGCTCGCCTCGCGCTGGCCGACGGCGTCACCATGCAGGTGACGGTCCGCAGCGACGAAGAAACGGTTGTCGACGTCATCCTGGCATCTGTGGGCTGAAGCCCAACCCTTTATCGCTTCTAACTTTTTGTCTATCGCTAACATCTGCTACTTAACATGACTCTGGAAGAGAAATAAACAGTGATTACAAATGACCTTTTTTTGTAGAAAACTATTTATTTGATCATCAAGCTCTCAGCTCACTCCGCATGTCAGTCAAGTTCAGAACGAGTGAATAAAATTAAAGTAAGCCTTGAGGAAGCCCGCGGGATCTTCCAGCTGCGGGTAGTGACCGATGTGCTCGTCCAACACGCTGACGGTCGACCTCTGCACCAGCTGCCTGTGGGAACATTAACAGCGCGCACGTCACCTACTTACCAACGACGGCGGTAAAGACGAAGGATGCTCACTGGTAAAGGCGGATGAAATGGGGGTGGGGGTTGACCGGGTCGAGCGGGCCGTAGATCAGGTGCACTGGAAGACAAAGTCGTCATAAAGGGGAGCCGACATGAAGGACACTTGAGTGTGCGTGATGTGACTTACGTGGCACAAAGGTGGACGTGAGCGCGCCGACCCATCGTTCTCTGTGCTTTAACCTCTGGTTTATGTACTGTAGAACACTGACACACAGACAAAAATCTTTCAAGGCTTCTGTAAATAGGGTCAAATAGTGCGTTACAAAATATAAACAGTGGTGCAGGAACCTACAGGTTTTTAAAGAGATGTAGCCACATAATACTGCCGCCTGGTGGACAATGTATGAAATGTATTTTTTATTATTTACTTCTTTTTTTTTTTTAATAAAACATAACTATACCTGAGAATATATTTTTTTTCTTACCTGTCCAACACAAGGTTGCCGTCATTGTAGCGCAGACCGGTCCACATGTCCCAGAACTCTGCATCGGTCGGCTGCGTGTACGGCCCGAAAACCTCCCCGATCCTGCAATCAAAGAAAACCAGTTAGCAACGTTTTGGTGTGTGTGACTGGATCAGAAAAAAAAAAATAACAGTGCTGACCCCTTCTGGAAGATCATGTAGTTGGTGAGCCGCATGAGGACGGGAGCCAGGAACGTGGAGTCCTTGAGTAGCTTTTTTTTTTCTTACCTGTCCAACACAAGGTTGCCGTCATTGTAGCGCAGACCGGTCCACATGTCCCAGAACTCTGCATCGGTCGGCTGCGTGTACGGCCCGAAAACCTCCCCGATCCTGCAATCAAAGAAAACCAGTTAGCAACGTTTTGGTGTGTGTGACTGGATCAGAAAAAAAAAATAACAGTGCTGACCCCTTCTGGAAGATCATGTAGTTGGTGAGCCGCATGAGGACGGGAGCCAGGAACGTGGAGTCCTTGAGTAGCTTTAGGAAGACAAAATGGATCTCGGTGAGACATCACAACCTCCGCGACGTCAATGAACGCTTGTGAATAAGCGAGCGGTGAGACTGACCATCTGCAGCAGACGAGGGTGGTGGGCTTCGGGAAACAGACCTGTGGAGAGCACAAAGTCCATCACGGCGGCTCCGAAAATGGGAGAACGTACTGCAAAAACACTCACCTCCGTTTGAGAGACACAGGCTGTTGATGTTCAGGTGACCCGTACGGTTTTGGTCACTCCTGTCCATACAAGAAAGCACAATCGCTTGTTGTTTAATTGGAAAACTGTTGGCCAATTGCCGGACCGCACAGACGCGGCGGTATTGTCTAATTTCTTTAAGACAACTGCAGAAAAATCATCTTGAAGTCTACCTGTGGAGCAGCTCCAGCGCCACCGTGTCGCCGTAGTCATGTGACACCAAGTTGATGCGCTGGTTGGCCAGACCCAGGTGCGCCAACAGCGCCTCAACCACACTAGCCTGCTCGAAGATGGAGTACCTGTGTGGTCGCTGAACGCCACGGCAACAGGAAACCAATCGATTACGTTCACTTTTGATTGATTTGATGGATTCACACACACACGAGACGCTCACCGGCTTGTCGCTGAAGCCAAAGCCCAAGAAGTCCAGTGCTATGACGCGGTTGAAGCGTTGGGTGAGCGGCTCCCAAATCTACTGAAGAATGGGGAGAGAGTAGACACATGGATGTCTTCCAATAAATTTTAAATAAATATTCAAATAATAATTTGCTTCTGGAATATGCTTATGTTGCTGTGTCGCTCCGACCTTGTGCCAGTCGTAGCTGGAGGTGGGAAAGCCGTGGAGGAGAAGAACGACGTCGGAGCTTCCCAAGGCACCATGAGAGTCTGTTTGGAGAAGACACGTTACACCTGCTGTACACACCTTGCAGTTCATGACTGTAAATTCAGCGCAAAAGCACTCAAAAAATAATGACTGCGACAGTGTGGTTCGGTTGTATTCAACTTTGAAGAACACACATTTACATTTTGTTTGGTTTTACACATTTCTAGAAGAACATTCAATCGTTAGTTTTTATGTGCGGTACTTTACAACTGATGGTGGCCATATGTTGTTGGGGTAGCACTTGGTGTAAAAACGTTTGGAAAACAGGATTTCATCTCAAGAAATCACTCATTACTAAACACCACTTTAAAAAATTTCACTTGATTTAAAAATGGTGCATTGTACCTCAGTTACATAACAAATACACTGGCGTAAGTGTACTTAGGTGGTTACATCTCATCTATTCACCTATGGAACATTCTAAATGAAAGAAAATGTTTGTTTTCAAAGCCATTTGGAGGAGCTGGCCGTGCCAAGGTTTGTATGTTGAGCACCTCTGTAAAAAATCTCGCTGCCCCTGAAGTTGAAGCCTCTTCCGGCGTTGTGCCACTTGAGCAAAGCAGCCGACAGCTGAGGCGGCGGGATGTGCAGGTAGACGGCCAGCAGCGGGATGCACATCAAGCCGACGTGGAGCCACCACTCTTTCATCGTGGACCGCTCAGTTCATGTCAAAAAACCGACCAACACTGCCACACACGCCAGTCAATTTTCTGACATTTTGCCTCGATTACTTTTGTATGGACACTAAATGCTACGTTAGCATTAGCTAGCACTAGTGAAATATCGTAAAACCCTTTCAGCCCCACACTTAATAAAATACCCCACACATAATAAAATACAGGGCCCAAAAATATGACATGTGTTTCTACCTTATGTAAATGACAGCACATAAACACTTTGAAAGGTTTTAATTACTCACTCAAAAAACATTCACTTGAAGACCTTCGGACTGTGATTAGCCTCCATAGCGACAAAGAGAAGAAGTACCACTCAATTTCTCCCTCTTATATACTTCTCAAGGTTACAATTTTTCATACATGGACAAAAGTCTTGGAGCAAAATTCGTAAAAAATATATCTTATATTTCCAACACTATTAATAATGTGTTTTAGTCTGATTTTCCTCAACAACTGTTACGAATTGTTAATACAGAGAGAGTGCGTCTTGTTGTATTACACGATCTGCGTTGTCCAATGAAGACGAGAAAGAAATGATAAAGGCTTTACTGCCGTCTTGTGGCCAAATGGGGTAAATACATGTACATGCACTGTATTAATCTGGTTGGTTTTATTGACGTAAACGTTAAAAATGTTTTTTATGCGGCATTATAATAATGTGTAAGGTTTACAAGAGCGCCACTTTTGGTTTCTCTGGACTACACCCTCTCATAATTTCTTTTGTAGTTGCTTCAACCGCATTTTGATGTTCTCCTTTTTTCTAACACCAAGGACTAACATACCAATTTCATTATGGACGACAAGAACAAAAAATATTCTTTCGTGATGAAAATGAGTTTTTTAAAAAAAAGTTGAGATAATTGAGCCAAATTGTGCAAGACTCAATCGTGAGTGACCTTTGTTTGATTGCTAATCTGAACTGCAATGAAACAAATATATGCGATCAAAGATGAGACACTTTAGTGATTACATGTAATTGCAACACACCCAGCATCTCCCGAGAGAAAGTTTGAAAAAGAAAAAAGAACGATTCAAAAAAAAGGGAACAGGGCTGCTGCACGTAGGCTAAATACATTATTTATTTTTAAAAACCAGACACATTACTCGACAAGTTTCAAATGTAAATCCAATCACGATATCCATTTAAAATGCTCAAGATAAACAGACATGAAGTACTTTTATTTCCAAATGTTAAATGATAAAAAAAATGACAATCCATAAAACAGATGGAAAAAAAAGCCATTCATTCCTGTGTTTTACAGGAAGAAGCGACAGAAAAAACTCCTGGTATGGATTCCGCTTTTGTGTGTTTTCAAGGTCTTCCAAGCTGCTATTTTGTCATATCTGTAAAACCAAACAAGGACAACAGGCCAGCTCCCTCTCTCAATATTTATTCCACGCGCCTCTGGGTGAAGAAAGCCTGGGGGGGTTGCAGGAAGAACATGCAGCCTACAAACCAAAAATAAAAAATACAAAAACAAATAAAAAGAGGCCTGTTCCCTCTCTCACTCCCTCAAACCTATTTGCACCCTGAGATGAATGTTCCAGACAACACACATTTTGAGTGGCCTCCCCGCAGTGTCAAATCCTCCGCAAACTGTCTCGTGAGCATGATGAAAGCTCAAGAAATCAGTTTATCGTCATAAAAATACAAAGGTACATTTGTCGTTTCGGTATCAAAATTCTTGCTAGGAAATAAAGTACCCTGTGCAGATGGATACCAGTGTATTCCTTATCTTTATTCTTTAAAAAAAAAAAAAAAGCGTAAATATATAGATTCTTTTTAGTGTTTCCAGTACATCAGGTGTCCCAAAAATGGTTCCTCTATGTGAGGGGAGGAAGAAATCGGAATATTTTAGAAGTTGCAATCTTTGAGGGTAGCGGGGTGGACGTGGGTGTGTGGGGGGGTCTATATTTAGCAAGCATCCACAGGGTTGATCAAGCTTGAACGTTGACTCGAGCCAAGGCACATTCACTGGCTGATTTTGTCTCAATTGAACCCAAGTTGTGTTGTCCTTTTGTGCAAATAAACATCTGAAAGTGTGTCACCTTGTTCAGAATCAGACTCGGAAGAGGCCACGCTTGCTAAATACGAGCCCCGTGGACTCCCTTTTTGTGTGTGTGTTGAGCTTTCAGCATGTGGAAATCTTTGAAAACAAGATAATGGATGAAAATGAGGACTTTGTTGGGGGGGGGGGGATTTGTGCACGTGGAAACTATAGAGTAAATATTTATAGCGATTTTCCAAAACACGTCACCTGGGGGGGGGGGGGGGGGGGGCACCCCATCTAGCGGGCCTCCTCTCTATACAAGACTTAGTGTTTATTGGTTTGGCTAGAAGTTTCTATGCTTATCTACAAATATATAACAAATAAAACTTGCAGGCAAAAAAATACTTAAGTTTCAATAGAAACACCCTTTTTTTTCCTGAAAATACAGCAGTATCTGAAATAATCTTCTCATTCATTTTTCTTTTTTTTTTTTAATGTCCCCACTTTTCTGCCTCATACATCAGGAAGCTCTTTTGCCTACAAACAGAAAAAAAAGTATCTACAAACTTTGTAAACAGACCTGCTTTTTTTCCTCCATAAACATAAATAAGTCAAAATATTAACAGCCAAATGGAGCAGAAATTAGTTGTTTTTTGTGTGCGCGCGCGCGCGTGTGTGTGTGTGTGTGTGTGTGTGTGTGTGTGTGTGTGTGTGTGTGTGTGAGCGAGGGCCGAAGAGCGAAATATACAACACCATCGAGATTAAAGAGAAGCGAAAAGGTTCTGTTGTCTTCAAGCCGTGACGACCTGCTCCTCGACGCAATTCAAATAATATTAAGAATAAGAGTAGAATAAGAAAAAACAGGTCACTTTCAATCAAGAGTTTATAATCGCGCCTTTGTCCAGCCAGACAAACCAAAAGTAGGGTCAGCAGGGGGGTTGGGGGGGGAGCAGAGTCCTGGTGCGGTTTAAGAAGTGAAGAAGAAGCTCAAAGAATCCACACAAGCCGATACATTCCTCCCAATGTTCGTCCAGCACAGCCCAGTGCAGCCCCCCCCCTGCCCCCCCCATGTAGAAAAGTGGTAAGGTGCCTTTCAGGGAGGTGGGCGTGCTTTGCGATCAAAGGGAGGTTTCCAAGCTGTGTAGGGGGCTGCCCGGCACGGGGGTCTCGCCCACTTTGGTGGCCTCCGGGAGGAGGTGGTTGCTGCTCTCCACAGCGTTATTGTTCTGGTTTGGGGAGGCGGGGCTGAGGGCGGGGCCGCCGGAAGGCGGGGCCGCGCTGGCTGGCGAGGGCGGGGCGGGCGAGGCGTTGCGGGAGCTGGCCGAGTTGCGCTTGGTGGGCGCGTCGTCCTCGGCGTCCGTGTCGTCTATGAGGGGGATGTGCGGCTCCGAGTCCTCTATCCGAAACTCCGGGTGGGTCATAAAGTTGTGGATGGAGGTCCGCGACTCGGGCTTCTCCAGGCCCTCATAGAGGGAGATGGAGCTGCGGAATGCATTCACCACGCGGATCTGCAAGCACGGGGTGAGAAAATGCGGCGTTAAGACCACGGGCCCGGCCGGATGGTGTCGGGGGTGGAGGCGCACACGTCAAATTGGGCGAGTTATTATTTAGTGACCTCAACACAACATCGCCGTCAGTCAAACACGTGCAAGTCGTTCTGACACGTCGTGTACGGGCCTCCAGCAACGGTGGAATTTAACATCGTTCGGCTTCTTGAATCGCAGCCTCGGCTCAAAATGGAGGCCTTGAACGTTGCTGAGGCGGGCGAGCGGCCGTGTGTCGGAGCGCTTTTTTTGGACAGTGAGTCGGTGCACACAGGTGAGCGAGCGGCAAACCCCAAATCCAAAGTGCGTCGAGTGCGTGCGAGTACGTCACCAAATGCTCTGGGAGAGGCCCGCTTCTGATTATTTCATCAAAATGCAAAAAAAATAAATAAAAAAATAAACAAAAGGCCTAAAAGGTGTTGGACATGCTTCGAGGAGAGAAAAGAAAGAAAGAAAAGCAAAAAGACAGGAAGAAGGGGAAAGACAAAAGAAGAGACAGGAAGGAGAGAAGACAGAAGAGAGGAGAGGATAAAAAAAGAGAGGAAGACCAAAGACAGAGAGAGGATGGACTAAAAGACACGAGAGCCAGCGGGTTGTGACTTGGGACAGATGGTCAGTTGTATGCATTTGTTTTTTTTGTTTTTTTTTTTTTGTGCCGTCCAAACAAAATGAAAAAAAAAAAAAGCTGCTGCAGCCAAGCACGTCCACAAGCAGGTTGGCCATTAGACAAAAAAAAAAAGAACTGGCACACGAGAGCCGAGGCCGAGTCCATGCAGAGCGTGTGCTACCTTTGTGCTCGAAAGGCAGTAAACCTTTGAGTATAGCCCATGACACATTTCACAGAATCGAAAGAAGAACACGCGGCCGGTCGGCGGGATGCGGACCGACACACGACTGCCGACACACACACAATGGAGGACCGCCTTGCACCTTTTTGGAAGGACCTGGAATGGAAAGTTATTGACCAAAGCTCTTCCACCTGTGAGGGAAGGTTGTGGTGCAGAGGGGTGCCGGCGGGGGGGGGGGGGGGGGGGGGGGGGGGGGGGGAATAAGCGCTGACGGTTGACAATCATCCCCTCCGTCAAAGTCTTCTCGCGCCGTTCCCGACCAGTCAGGAGGATCTGCGGGAGAGGAGAGCCGCGAGGGCGCCAATGGGGACCATCCCCCGCCGCCGCCGAGGAGGAAGCCTCGTGGCGCTTTTGAGGCGGTTCTTAAAGCGCGTGTCCATGGGCGTATACTCAAAACATTTACCCAGCGAGGGACTGACTGAGGCGGACGCGAGCTGCCCAATCCGGTAGACGCCGCTAAGAAAATGCACACAGTTACATACACATTTCCCTCGTTATTAATCACAGTCCAAAAAAAAAAAAAAGAAAGAAAAAAAAAACAAACCCTAACCACATTCCAAGCAGAAGCCGTACAGAAGACAACGTGATGACACAGATAGAAAACACAGCTCCACGCCAGAAGCCACCTGGTCACATGGTACATAGATAGGAACAGCATCACGTGGCATCCAAGCTTGATGAGAGATGTGGGCGCCATTTCTTTTTTTTTTTTTTGGTCAAACGAGAGAGGAAGAAAGAGAGAAGGAGCGCCGAAGAGGAGGTTAGAGGAGAACACGTCTCATGCACGAGAGGAGAACACACACTCACACCCCACAGCGGCAGCAGCGGAGTTGGTGGCGTTGTTGTTGTTGGTGGTGGTGGTGGTGGTGGTAGTAGTAGTAGAAGGAGAAGTAGTAGTGGAGGAGGAGGAGGAGGTAAAGGCTACATGTGTAGGGCTAGAAACATTGGTTACATCGTGCTGCTGCTGGCTGGAGTTGGAGGCCTGCCGCCTCAGAGCCCCCTGAAAGGAAGTTCCGCTCTGGAACGCACTCACTACATCCATCTGCAAAGAACCACACAGCGTGACGGCAGAAAGCCCACAAGAACAAAAGAGAGAGAGAGAGAAAGGTGAAATAAGAGCAATAACCATCGGGAGGGCACAGAAGGAACCAAAGTGCAGTCACTTTGGAATATGACTTGTTAAAAGAGAGGAAAAAAAAAAAGAGGGGGAGTAGTTTGGGTTTTCAAAGGCACTGATCAGCTGATAAGCTTCATAATTCTTTGACCAATCAGCTGGTTCCCTTCCTTAAAAAGCAGTACAGTGAACCTCTAACTATTCATGGATCGGCCCTGGGTGGAAAAACTCCATCGAGCTGCTGACGAACTATGGAGGCGTGAGCTGAGGAGCTCCATTGTGGCATCTTGGTGGCGAGCAACGATGCTACTCTCGATCGGGGCGAATAGCAGGCGGTTCACTCTACGGCGGTTAACAGTGCCGCTGCAACGGCAAATGGGGAGTTAAGAGGCTTTATGGCTTCGATTCCGTTGCGAGTGGCGTCAGATGGGCGAGATTCCCGCCCTCCCCGTAACCCTCCCGTCCCCCCCGCAGCGTTTGGTGCATCACCTGAGTCTGGATGCGGTTGAGGCCGCGGAACCAGAGGATCTGGCCGCGACGGAGCTCCCGCTCGGCGTGGTCGATCTCGTCCATGTCGTCCAGCTCCTCCAGCTCCTCGTCAGGGATCTCCTCCTTCTGGGTGCCGTGGCCCGCCGTTTTTAGGAACTTTAAGCGGCTAGTGGGGATCGACGAGATGACCTGGGTGGGGGTGAAACGGACGCCGGATTAAAACGAACTGCAACGGTGCATTAAAAAAAAAAAAATCATAATTAACGGGTCCCTGCACTACACCCATCTGACCACAGAAGGGCAGTGTTGAGTTGCAAATCACAGTCTTACCTGCCCCCACAACAGTGAGCCGAAGCCCAGGAAAGTGCACCAGAGCCACTGGTCGATGGAGAGAGCCACGCAACTGAATGGCTTCCCTCCAAATTGCACGATGACGATCTGGACGGACAAGAAGTATCCCCATGAGAGGCGAAAAAGGCTCTTCATGGTGTGCGCAGCGGTGGAAAATGGACGCGGTACCTGGATGACGAAGGTACCGAAGACGATGCTGCAGAAGATGAGGTTGTTGAAGATGCCGTCGAAGACGTTGCGCTCGCCGTGGATCTTGCGGGCGTTGATCTCGTTGAATAGCTGCATCAGGACGAAGGTGTTGAAGACGATGGTGTAGTGCTCCGAGGGCGGCGCTCGCAGCGGCGCGTTCCTGCCGCTGTCGATGTCGAACATCGTCTCTCCTGCGGCGTCGACGGAACGTCAGTATCGGCGAGGACGAATCCAGCGGGCGAACTCAAATCTTCCCTTACCGGCAAAGAGCAGTGTGAAGATGATGACCAGCTGGTACACGCCCTGGCCCAGAATGTTCTTCATCATGGTGCGAGAGATGAGAGGCTTGTTGCGGCCGTATGGCTTCCTGAGCAGCAGGGCTTCCGTGGGCGGCTCGGTGGCCAGCGCCAGGGAGGCGAAGGTGTCCATGATCAGGTTGACCCACAACATCTGGACCGCCTTCAGTGGAGAGTCCTGGAAAAAATATACAGTGCTGGTTTTTAGAAAGTGTCCTCATTGGACATATTGTCGTGTCAAGGTGTCGGATGTTCGCGGCGGCGCAGTCTAGCAAATGACTGCACGGGCTTGAGTTTTCGTCTTTGTCAGTTAATTTGACACATGAATTTTTGGGAAAGAGGTTAGGTTGAACAATGATTTAATTTATGACATTACACGAGTCTTAAAAAAAAAAAAAAAAAAAAAAACTGAAGCTAAGACTAAAATTAACACACACCAACTTAAAATGAAGCTTACTCCAAAAAAATACAAGCTGACAAAAACGAACTTGCTCTAAAAAACGAATTCAAACGAACTAAATCTACACAAACTAAAAACAAACGGCAATGAAAAATTCAAATATATGATAACCACGTCTGTGAGCTTGTATTCAAAATGGCCGCGGGCTTTCAGGCTCCGACGCAGGCCATTAAAAAATAAACGAATAAGAGGCACAGAGTGCGATACGGTAACATTTTGTTTCCGCGCAAACAGTCAAGAGGTCAAACATTCAAAATGAACGTGGTCGAGACAAATAGGCTGACCTGAGTGATGCAGGCGCCCGTGAAGGCGACGATGACGGCCACCACATTGACGGTCAGTTGAAATTGCAGGAACTTGGAAATGCTGTCGTACACGTTGCGTCCCCACATCACGGCCTTGACGATGCTGGAGAAGTTGTCGTCGGTCAGGATGATGTCGGACGCTTCCTTGGCCACGTCGGTGCCGGCGATGCCCTGCGAGGAGGAAAGCGACGATTTGGTGATGTCATGTTAGCCATCATTGATATGTTTACGAGGTGCGTGTGCGCACGCCTCACCATGGCAAAGCCGACGTCGGCTTTCTTCAAGGCGGGACCGTCGTTGGTGCCGTCCCCGGTGACGGCCACCACTTGCCTCTGCTCGGCCACGGTGCTGTCGATAATACCTAAAGCGGTAAAAGACGTGAGCCGAACGCAAAAGCAACAACTCTCCACATGAACGTCGGACAAAGTCAACCAACCTTTGACTAAAGTGTGCTTGTCAGTTGGGGAAGAACGAGCCAGCACTCGTAGTTTGGGCCAGATCTTGTCAATGCGCTCTTGTTCGATCTGGAAATACGACAAGAATCCAAATGAATCACCTCAAAATATATTTCTGGAAGCGTCGGAGTGATGTGAGCTTAGTGTAGCGGGTTCCGCCCACCTCTCCCTTTTCGTTGCGTATCCGCCGGTTGAACTCTTTGCCCTCCAAGCAGAGGAAGTCGTCCCCGGGCTGCAGGATGCCGCACTTGCTGGCGATGGCGCGCGCCGTGTTGATGTTGTCACCCGTCACCATCCGCACCGTGATGCCGGCGCGCTGGCATTTTCGAATGGCGTCCGGGACCTGAAAGGGAAAAAAAAAAAAAAAAATCTTCATTTATTTAGGACAGACTTGAAAAAAAGCTTTCGAATGGCGTCCGGGACCTGAAAGGGAAAAAAAATAAATAAATCTTCATTTATTGAGGACAGATTTGAAAAAAGCCGCTCGTTCCTCACCAGAAGCTACATATTTCCTTCATATTTCATTTTATGTAACTTTTATGACCATTTTTACCTGCCAGAGGAATCGTATAAGGCCAGCTCCTTTTTATTTTACCTGAAATATTTTTGTTCAGAATCCTTTATGGACGATCGCCTTTGTGATTTATTTGTTTTTACATATTTCCTTCATATTTCATTTTATGTAACTTTTGTGACCATTTTTACCTGCCAGAGGAATCATATAAGGCCAGCTCGTTTTCATTTTACCTGAATATTTTTGTTCAGAATCCTTTATGGACGATTGCCTTTGTGATTTATGTGTTTTCGTTTCGTCAAAGAGACCTGCGCTTCACGTGACCAAATCCAACGTAACCACTTGCGAGGTTCGACTCCATTTCACCAATCACAAGGAGCCGGGCAGTCACATGACCGCATACAAAGTCACTGCGGCCCCACACGGAAGCAACGTTTTCATAATGACTCACTTTTTTCTTTCTTTTTTTTTTTACCTCACAGATAAAAATAACAGCTGCTTCATACCCTGTTCCTCTGTTGGCCTAAAAATATCCACATTTCAACCTACAATGACTCCTACAAAGCACGCAGATTTTTTTTTTTCAGTGCAATCTCTGCCCCGGTGAGCCTATTGTGCTGTTTCACGAGTGTAAACAAAGAAATCGAATTTAATTTGATTTACTGTTCTGGATAACAGAAGATATTGTTGGGCAACATCTGAAGTTGCGCATTTTTATGATGATTTTTAAAAACATTTTCTGTGCACTTAACTATTGACTCATCTCTGCCCGCCACCCTCCAATTTACCTCAGGCCTCACGGGGTCTTCGATGCCCACCACGCAGATGCAAGTGAGCCCGGTGAGGATGTCGTTCTCGTTGTCCCAGTCGGGCTCGCCGTCCTTCACGGCGAAATCTCGGTACGCCAGGCAGATGGTCCTCAGGCCTTCGGAAGCCATGGGCTCGATCACTTTCTTCACCATGTCGTCGCGGTCTCGCGGGCGAAACACCTTGGACTCGCCCGACGCCGTCAGGATTTTGTAGCACCTGGGAGCGGGAAAAAAAAGGCGGCAGATGAGACAGCCGAAAGCGGTTGAAAAACGCCTCGAAAAAGTGAAACAAAAGCATTTGGGCGTGACGTCACGCTAAGCCCTCTGTGGGTTAAAACGAAGCACGCTTGGTTAAGAGGCTTACGGAGTTGTTACCAGCTCATTTTCTCAGTGCCTGTTTCTAAGTCGTAAAGTCAAGGGGATGCGCTTGCACTTCTGAGCTGTTTTAAGACATTTTGTATTCGGCTCACGGGCATCCGGACCGAGCGGAGACCTGCGAAATAAAAACCGTCAATCGCCTCATCTCACTTTTTGAGGAGGATTTCCGAGGCGCCCTTGCTGAACATCCGATAGCTGCCGTCCGCCATCTTCAGCACGGTGCTCATGGACTTGCGCACCGAGTTGAAGGTGTACACCTTGTGCAGCTTCTCCTCGGGGATCTCGTTGCGAATGGTCTGGTAGTCGCGCTTGAGGTCGGTGGAAAATCCCAGCAAGGCACATTCGGTCTTGTTGCCCACTTGCCGGGGCAGGCCGCCTTCTTTCTCCGGAGGCTGGCGGGGGAAAGGAGGAGGCGTTGGCGACAGCGAGCGAGCAATCCGAGGCGAAAGTATTTTGGTCCCGGCATATTTAATGAAATACAAAAACAAGCGACACATTTTTTTTTCGTACCATGATCTTGGTCGTGTAGGCGCAGTTGACGGCTATCCCCAGAATGAGGAAATCTAAAATGGAGGCCGGGATGTTCTCCGGCTCCGGCACCTTCTTGTAGTGTTTCTCCGCCACGTAGGCCTGCACCACCGTCATGCGGTTCATGGTGAGTGTCCCCGTCTTGTCCGAGCAGATGGCCGTGGCGTTGCCCATTGTCTCGCAGGCGTCCAGGTGACGCACCAGGTTGTTGTCTTTCATCATTTTCTGTCAACGGGGAGGACGGTCAACAGCGACGCGCTAACCGCTTCCCCACCGGATGACACGGCGCGGGATCATAAGCTTTGGCTTCAAGGTATCACTCAGCAGGTCTTAACATCCCTGGCCCGCAGCTTTTAATAGGCTGAACGCATAAGCTGGTGGCAAAGGGGCACGCGGCCGACAAGGTTAAGAGACTTTACCTTGACGGAGTACGCCAGCGAGATGGTGACGGCGAGCGGGAGGCCTTCGGGGACGGCCACCACCAGCACGGTGACGCCGATGATGAAGAATTTGACAAAGAACTGAATGTAGATGGGCGTGCAGGCCTTGACCCAGGGCAGGTTTTGGATCCAAAAGGTGTCGACCACAAAGAGCACCACCAGGATGATCACGGTGATGGCCGACATCACCAATCCTGATAGGGAGCGGAGACATATTTTTTTTTCTTGATTCTTTTTTATTTCAGTCCGTATAAATCTATAATCTAACAATCAAAAACATCGACATCGGGAATTTATAGTTGAAACGGAACATGGAAATGGAAACAGTTTAAGGGTGTATCGACAAAATGTTTTCCGCAAGTACGAATTCGCTTAACACGGACTCGAAGCCTCTCACCCGCTTTGCCGATCTGGACGGCGAGTTTGGTCAGCTTGCCCTGGAGGACAGATTTCTCTTTCTTTGGCAGGTTGGCTTTCTTCTTCTCCTCCGAATCGGCTCCCTCGTCGCTGTTCAGAGGCTGCATTTCCATGGCGGCGCCGTCCTGCGCTTTGGCTGCAAACAACAATCCGTTTGATGTCACGAAATAAAAACCCCCGCCCTGTAAATGATTGTATTTGTAAGACTAAACGCGTCTCCCATATTCAAAGCGCCATCCTCCCAGCAGCCTCTCTCTTGCTCGCAGGCACAACAGACGACGAGGATCCCCGAGACACGCGAGCAGATAAAATATGAGGGCTCGTCTCCGCAGAGCCATGATGAAATCATTAGCCGTCGCGGGGCTGCGAGGATACAGCTGCTAAAGCCCTCCAGGACAAATTGTCACATCTTTCTTCCTTCAAACTTTGGATCCCCTAATTAAACGCCTCATGCAGTGGCGCACCCGTGACAAGGCTATTGTATTTGTGTGGATGGGGCCGAGGGGGTGGAGGGGGGGGCTAGCGCTGTGCTACGGCAGCTGCAGTTGGTTCTGGAGTAATATCAGTCGAAAGGATTACAGCTCATTCCAGACAGACAGGGGGAATCTGTGCGGCAGGCGCCGTGGCCAGGGTTGCGCTCGCGGACCCCGGCCGGCGCTCTTCGCCGTCCCAGTAGGACGACCAAGCTGGCCGGTTACCGTGACGCAACCTCGTTATCGTGCTTGTCAGCCTTCTGGCCGTGGAATTGTTGCGTCGCTTTAATCTCTTCATCACTAATCGCTGTAACTGGATTCAGTAGCACCTGCTGCCCAAAGCACAATGTGCCAGGCGAGGAAAGAGGGGGTGACGGTGGGGGGGGGCGGGACAATGAGGATGCCAGCACAAGCTTGCGCTGCGTCAAAACGGGGTCGTGGCAAAACGCAAAACTTCTCGCAGGAAAAAAAAAAGCGCGGCAGTCAATTACACGCTGCCGTTAACTAGGAGGCAGGACGCCGGGTAATAAATGTGGGCGCTACGTTTGCGAGGCGATTATACACACTTTAATGGGGCCGCCTACGCGCTACCCGCTATTGCCGTTTGCATCGGCGTTAACAGGCTGCGGCGTGCGGTTGGCGCGTCGCACGCGCGCTTTCCCAACTCGTTCCGCCGCATTCCATGTCAACTTTCAGAAATGAATGACACAACAACGCGACTTTTTCCTGAGGCTCGGAACTTCCGAAGCGGTCATTAGCAGGCAGATGCTTCGAGTCAAACAATTTGGTCTATTTTGGCGTGTTGTTTAGGAAAGCCGATTTCAGAGAGAGAAATATTGGCTTCTTTGGGAATCTGTAAATGCTAATACAGGTCTGCTAATACATTCGGAATCAGATTACAGTGCTTTCAAGGTCAACTCGCGCCAGCGAAAAGCAGGTGGCCTCTGCGAGTGCGCGTGTGTCGGCGCGAATATCAACTCACCTTTCTTTCGATTTTCAATGGAGCCGTCCTGCTTCTTGTCTGCAAAACAGAACACCGGAGAGAGATAGAGCTGAATCGGGATGCGTGACCAGCGGCGCCGCATGGAAATGACCCAAACAGAAAAAAAAAAAAAGGGTCTACGAGGACACGCACTTTTCCTCTGTTTCTTCTTCTCCTCTTTTTCCTTCTTCTTTTCATCTTCGTCGTCGTCATCCTCGTCCTCGGCGGCACCGAGCAGCGTGAAAATAATTCCAGTTTGAGAGTTGACGCCCACCGCCGTGACCACCATTTTCCCCGAGCCTTCCATCACGTGGGTGCCTGTCGGAGCGAGGAGGCAGAGGGAAGCAAAGACGCCGCTTGAGTTTCTCAGCGTTTGCGGACCGAAATGCAAGCCCCGCTAGATGTACTTGCCAAGCGAACGGAACACTTGACACACTGCTTTTGACACACTCGTGTAAAAAGCCGCAAAGTGCCGTTCGTGGCGACATGCTAGCATCGCAATCCAACATGGGAGGCTCGGGAGTTACCCGACAACAGCATCAAATCTTTCTCCTGCGTCTTCTTGACATGATCCGACTCCCCCGTGAGCGAGCTCTCGTCGATCTTCAAGTCGTTCCCTTGGATGAGGAGGCCGTCGGCGGGCAAAAGGTCCCCTGCGAAGCGCGCAGAGTTCCAAGTTAGCGTCGCAAAAGTCAAGCGAGTCAAGAGTTGCTCGGGTTTGAAAATGTGCTCCGGTTTTCACATCGTGGATTACGTCAGCGTCTGTTAAATAAATTGAAGTTAATGTTTGACCGGCGACCGGTGAGCTAAAGTGTGAAGTTAATGAAGCTGAGCGAGTCTTTGTGGATTTAATCGTGACAGATCAAGTTTGATGTCGGAGTTGTATTTCTTATCTTTAAGTTCCAAACTTTGAACTCTGTGCCCGGAGTCGGTTTGGTGGGTCGCCAAAAAAAAAAGATTTCCAAATGTAAAAAGGCAAGCGACGTAGTCGCGGCTTTCTCAAGCTTTATCCAAACAAGTCGCGAGCCCTGAAAATGAAATGAGTCTCACCATATTTTATTTGTGCAACGTCACCGACGACGATCTCCGCCACGGGGATCTGGATGACCTGCCCGCCGCGGACCACGGTGAACTTCTGCTCCTGCTCGATGCGGCTCTGGAGGCCGCGGAACTGCTTCTCTTTGCTCCAGTCGTTGAACGCCGTCACCAGCACCACGCAGATGACCGACAGCAGGATGGCGGCGCCCTCGATCCAGCCCGCCTCCGCCTCGTGCTCGTCCTCCGCGCCGCCGGCGGCTTTCCCGCAGTCTGTGTAGAAAAAAAAAAAAAAAAGTCAACTCCATAAACAAATAGCGCAATGCAAACACAAGTCTTATGTTGTCTTTTACATATAAGGACCAAAAAAAAAAAAGAAAAAGACCGTGATGATCATGAACCTACCTTCTCTTTTGGCATCTTGAGGTCTATAAAAGGAAAGGCCAAGTGAAATGATGGCTGCCACTTCCAGGATAATCAGCGTGACATCCTGCAGCGCCTCCCACACTAATTGCAAGAACGTTTTGGGCTTTTTGGGCGGTATCAAATTTTGTCCAAACACCGTTTTCCGCTTCTCGATGTCTGCCGGCTGCCCACTTAGACCTGGAGAGAGAGGGGGGGGGGAAAGGCCACGTTGGTGAGGCGACACAAGAGCAACACACGATAGAACGGACGTCAAAATACAACAAACGTTTGACCGCATGCCTCCACGCATATTCAAGAGGGGCCGGCACACGGCGGATGATGCGCCGCAGTTTTTCGCCGCCATCGATGCAGACGGCATCCGGGCCGGGTGTGTTTCGCGGGGGTGGAGAGGATGGAGCTTGCACGTGTGTGAAGAAGTGAGGAGGAGGAGGAAGAGGAGGAGGAGGACGAGCGAAATTGCGAGGAGTGGATGACTGCGCAAAACCACTTCTGACGGGATGGAGCGAGGCCGCGGGGGACGGAGAGGACCCGACTGGGAAACGTGGGGTCCTTGTTTGAACTATTTATAAAACTCATGACAAGTTACTGAGCACAGTAAGAGACAGCTCCATATTTAAAACAAAGCCCCTTAAGCCACTGGGAGTGTGTCATGCTACACATTAGCTGACTTCAACTGCCTTTTCAATACAAACGCAAAATTCATCAGAATAGATTTCAGGCTAGCGGGGCCTGTGAAGAAAATTTTGGAGGCTGACGACATGTTTTAAGACGGCATCCCCACATGAAAACACAACCGGATCCCTTTTCGCAAGGTCCATTACCGTTGGGGAGCCGGAACGGTGAGTCACCGGCGCCGGCAGCGCAGTCGACAAGCTGCGGGGTTTTACCCGCCAATAATTGCCCGTCGCGGCTCCCCTTCGCCACCTCATACCGTCTGCTTTGATTCCCGAAGCCACTAATGAAAAGACGCTGACAGCAACAGGCCCCGGTTCAGTCTTACGCCACATTTTCCCCGGCCGCCCGGCCGCAATAAATGTTCAGCGACAGAGCAGTCAGCACCTCATCCTCGCCGACGGAAAGTGAAAATAGGCAGGCCCCGCAGCCCCGGACCGTGAGGCCGGCCGCGTTGAGCGGCTAATCATTAACCGTTTCGTTTGTAGCACTTGTCCCCGGCTGGCCTCGCTGCGACTGTCATCCCGGCCGCCGGCGAGGCGGTCAAAGTGAGGATTGGCCTTGTTGCAATCCACTGAAAAATGGTCGCAGTTTGCCTTTTTTTTTTTTTTTTTTTTTTGACTGCCTCGGGATTGAAAATGGGGTCAACGGGAGAGCAGAGAGACGACACCACGAATGACAAAAAAAAAAAATGTCAATTTGAATGAGTCACGCCACTGGAGTTGAAGTAGTCCCTTGATAAGTGGACAAAATATGCTAATGGACAAAAAGTTTTGACAAGGAATCCCTCCTTGTTTGTGTTGCCTCACCCTCTCGCCAGGCAGGCTTTTATCATGCAGCGAAACACACTGACCCACAAGAGTCCGAATGTGCTGACCAATCGCGGCTTTGCGGCAAAGGCTCCGCCGTGGCAAAGAGCAACATCTGACACAATGAGGGCGATTTGTGAACAGCATTCCAATGGCGGAGGCCTTCTTCGTGCTCGCGCAGCCCGCGTCGGGGTGGCAGGGTGCTACGAGCCAAACATTTGACTTCACGGATGGAGAAATCTAACTACAAAAAAAAAAAGGGGGCTTGGGGGGGCGATAAGTGCTGTCAATAGACGCGGAGAAGCCTTGCGAGTTTCATTACGCAGAAGATCCAACACGACGCATCGACGGAGTGACTGACGGCCACCGTTCCACATGATGGCCGCCGGTTGACATCTGCAGGGGGGCATCTGAAGCGGCGGCGATGCGCTTGCACTTAAGCCCGGCGACGCGGTGACCCTGTGATGTGACATTCAAAGTGGAGAGAAAGCGCTGAAAGGATGGCGCGGTATGTGTTAAAACGCCGCAACGTGTCCGACGGGACTAAAAATAGAACCCGCACACGGTCGACTTGACGGTCTTTACAGTCACACCCCCCCCCACCGCCGCGGTGAGGCATGGCTCCGCTCAAAAATGCGCACTCGAGCCCACCCAAGGAGAAACCGGAGTATTATCGACGACTGAACACACACACGACATGACAACAAACGGCGCGCGTCACCGCGGGCGGAAGCCGCTGCGGCGACAGGGAAAAGTTTGAGCGCAAGTTCCCCGGGTGAGGAAAATGAGCTTGGAAATGTGGGGGGGGGGGGGATTAGGGAGGGATCGGTTAAAGAGGGCTTTAGATGGAACCGTCCAACTAATTAGAAATCCCTTTTCAATTGTCAAGCTGCTGTAATCCCGTGCCAATGACGAATGAGCTCATTGCCACTGTTAAGTATCAAAAGCGAGCGCCCCGTCGTTGCCGCGCGCCACGCGTTGACAAAGTATGACAGGGCCCTTCAGGGCTTCCCGTGACGCGGTCACGTACGTGTGAGAAACAACTGGCACCTCGGCAGAAGGATTCGCCGCTATTCCCCCGTCACGCATTAAGGTAACGATTCCGGCAGCGACCGCGCCCGATTCGTGCTGCGATGCAGCGGGGTATTTACGGCATTCCCTCTGGCGAGATGAAGCCCAGGGAAAGGTTTTTTTTTTTTTTCCCCTCCCCCCTCGCTCTCCCTCTCTCACTCCTCGCTTTGAGACTCGACTGTTGCTGCGACAGCGAGTATTGCGGTGCCGTTTTAATCTGGGATCAAACTGAAAATCCTCTCCCATAAGAGTTCAGTCAAGGTCACACTGGCGATTAGGCAGACTGTCTATAGAGAGATGCTGAAACAGAGTAGAGGGGGGGGGGTTGGGGGGGGCTGTGCTGTCAACCAGTGAAGCTCCAATGTCGTCAAACATCTCATTTTCGCAAAAAGCCGGATGGTGAACAACACGCTGACGACAGCTGCAATCCAAAAATCGCTTCGCCCCCCCCGAAGACGAAAGTCGCTCCTTCCGCAACACGTTTGGGCCTGAGAGCCTCCTGTTCTACTGGCCCACATGTGCGACGTGAACCCGGGGGCGGGCCGAGTGCTGCGAACTGATGTCAAGGTGCACAAAATCCATGTGCAGTTTCAATTATTTTCAATTTTTTTTTTTTCAAATTTGTTCAGCAACAGCAAAAACATCCGACACGAAAGCGAGGCGAAGGTTTACTTTACCGTCCGTGGGCGAGGTTTTTAAGCGGCCGCAGAGTCCGTGGACGTCCCCGTAGGATTCCCCGATTTTGTTGAGGGCCTCGGCGCCTCGCAGTTCCATGAGGGAGCGCAGCTCTTTGAGCGTGCAGCCGAAGTCGCCGTCGTGGTTGGCCTCCATGATGGAGTTCTTCACTCCGCTGTACGAGTTGTTCGCCATTGTCTCGCTATCTCCCACCAAACGCAAAGCTCGGCGTTAACCGTAGGGGTTTAAAAAAAAAAAAAAAAAAAAGTGTCCCAGAAAAGCTTAAATCCCCACGAGCGCTCGCACGGCGGTAGCTCCCATAAAAAAGGCGACAGGGCCGTCAGAGGCAGCTGGAGTCATGCGGCAGCGGGTGGCGGCGGGGCAGCGCTTCTACAAAGCCGGCCATGGCCCTCGGAGACTCCAGTCTTCTTCCTGGCCTCTCATGGCGACGGAGGGGAACTCGCGGAACCGGAGATCAGCATGCAGTCAGATCTGGAAAGGCACAGGAGAAAACACACTGAGGGAATTTTACAAAATGACAGGTCAAGTACAAGTGAGGAGATGATATTTCGGCCTAATACTGCTTCAAAATTTCATGCGAGGGAAGATTTCCGAGTGCCCCAACTTACACGTTGAGTGATATCACGAGACAAGTTTTTGCTTCGACGCCTTTGGGTCACACCTTGGGGCAGGAAAACTTTTCCACTCTTATGAAAGTCGAATCGGTCGCGGTGCAAAATCTCGTTCACAGGCCTTCATCCTGGACGTGTTGGTTCACGTCGCGTACATGCAGCCCACCGTTCTCCGGGAGCGAGCTTCCCCCCCCCTGCCGTGGCGCTGGCGGCGAGCTGGAACCGACTGAATGATTACTCCGGGAAAAGCCTGGCGTGAAATCTAATTAAGGCTATCTGCGGCATCGGGGAGCTCCGCCGTGGTGGAGGAGACCATCCCGGACTCCAACGCGAGCGGCCGAGTTGCCTTGCGGAAAGAATGTCCGGATTCCTCTGTGACGAAGATATGTATGCTATGCTCATCTTTAAAAAAAAATAAATACATAAAAAAATAACGCGCCTCTAATCTCTGAAATAGGTGGCGAGATAAGAACGCGACATGTCGCGGTTTATCTCCAAATATGTCAGGCGGGACGGCGATGCAGCACAATAGATAAACGGAGGCCGCGTCGGCACGGAGCTCGCGCCGATGAGATTCTTGGAAACGATTCCGTCACACGTCGATATTCGACTTGGGGCCATCTGCCGTGCCGTTTTTTTGGGTGGCTTCGCTTGAAAAATGTATCCGCAAATATCCACGAGCCGCAGAATGTCAAGTATTTCTCGTAATATTGTATTTTAATTACAATGGTTTATAGAGGTAAAGAGGTGACTTCCTCCTTTGTTCATCGGAGTAAACTCCGCGGCACGGAGCAGCAAAAGAAAAAAAAAAAAAAACACACACACACAAAGGCGGCAGACTCGTAATTGTCATCGATGCCTCCTGGCCCAACGCCTGGGCTGCCTGCCAAGCTAACACAGGTTTGTCAGCATCGGGAACGCGGCGCACTATTAATGGTCCATGGCGGTGACGTTATGCAACACGGGACGGCCTGAGAGAGACGTGCCCGGAGCGGCCCCCGCTGCCC